TTTCTCATTACATATTTGGGTTGAAAGAAAGTGAAAGATATGAAATGATTCTCAGTGTTTGTAGGTTGATTATGAGTCCTCAGTTATTAGTTTAGAGTTCTTCATTTTTAAGCTTTTAGCTTCCAAACAAAGGATAGGACAAATGATAAGGTAAAACTGACGCTAGGCTTGGCTTGGTACCTTTATTGCTATTTGGAAGGTTAGCAGAGAAGCATTTGACCGAGAAGTTGTGACAAATTGTTGTTATTAATGCCGATGATTGAGTTGATAATTATAACCGGGGGGGGGGGGGGGGGGGGGGGGGGCTTCGCTCAACAAAACATAATTATAAAAAATTAAAATTACAGGGATTAGAACTCATTTTCAAAAGAAAATATGAGCTTCAGAGAGAGAGTGACGACAAAAGTAACCAAATACACCAAAGGAAAAGCAAAAAGAAGACCCATCCAGAGGGATAGAGTGAGCTCAGACTATACGACATCCTCTATGAAAGCTCCATCAAGGTATTACCGAATTATCTAAAAAATAGAGCACCAACTCGTCGAAGGCATTAGACCAAGTTATATTTGTTCAGTATAGAGACCAGACGAGAATGAAGAGAACCAATCAAAGGTAATCAGAGATTCATTCATGAAGATAAGCCGCTTAAGAACATAATTATTGCTGTAGATTTCATTATTGCTCTCCAAAATGCCAAGTGGACGAATTAGGTCGGAAATTTCATCCAGGACATGAAAATGTCCGGTTAAATTCCAAATTCAAAAGTCAATATTCAAAAGTAGCCAAAAACCATTATCAACCAGCAGAAGAACAAAACAATCAAATAGTAGATAATCAATTGTGTCAAATTCATTCGGAAAAAAAATAAAGGACTTTCAAAAAAAGGGAATAAGGTAAAGGAAATCAATTGATAAGCAAAAGGAGAGAATATATAAACAATAGTGTAAAGCAGGCCTAACGAGTAGTATTCACTATACACCATATAATCCAGCCAAAATATAGAAAAATCCGCCAGAGTAAAGGAGAAACCTGCACTGTTAAGCTTGGAATCGAGAGCATAGGAGGTTGGGAATTCCATCCAAAATGCATAAATGCACCCGGTTGAACTTCCAAAAGGTATGAGAACGTCGACCAATTTCAATTATTGCATAAATTTTGAATAAAACAACAGTAGTAACGTTATAATGATTGGGCTTGAAGGTTGTAAAAAAAAAGAGTAATGAGGGGATGGGGGATGGGAGTGGGGGGTGATTGGGATGATTTATGTGATTCAAGAGTCTTAAAGATAATATTCTTGAACGTATGAGCATTCTTTTCTAACCGAACAAATTGGAATGTAACCTGTATGGCAAGAAGAGAACCCCTTGGAATATTGCAATTTAAATAGTTAGTAAATGAGAAACATTGTTGAAAGCTACAATATGAAGAACAAAGCCAATAAAAGAGCATAATTTTAATAGTTGAAAGGAGAAGGGCCAGTCAAAAAAGAGATGAGCATGTGTTTCATTACCACATTTACATAAAATACAAATATTTTGTAAATTACAGTTTTTAGACATCAAAGCATCAATAGTAACAAGCCCATTGTTTAAGTTTTTCAATTTAAAGTAAAAAACTTGAGTTAATAACCTTTGAACCAAATTAATTTGCTCCGGGACGTAATTAGGAGTGAGAATAAAGGAAGTTGTAAATCTCTTTATGAGCTAGAGCAAGACAATGGGAATGTTGAGGATAAAGTTAACGCATTCTGTGGCGTCTTGATTATTATAGGATAGTGCCCAAGCATTAGAGGATATCAATATAGAAGTTGGAGTAGTTTAAGGAAAACCAAATCATGCAAAAACAGAACTAGCAAAGTTCTCATAAAGATAAGATCCATCCACTTATGGATCGAAGAAGAAGGAGAGGTGACTATTGATTGTTATCTAAAATTTAAAGTCTTCTCTGAGCCTTTTGAAAGTTTGAAGTACAACTTTCTAGAACATTGAATGAGAGCCTTTGCCAACCTGAAGTAAAGAACCATAACAGTGAAAGAACTGCATAAAGACAATAGAGTTAGAATTGTAAGTTTTTTATATGAGCTTTGCTTTGCTCATGATATTCAAGGCATCAAGGTTTGTTCCACCTCCACAATGTTTAAGTTTTGTTGTTGTGTGCCGAGAAATAGGGTACATTTTACTGCTTGAGCCACCAAAACTACAAATTTATTGATGAGAGATGAAATAGTCTTTTTCAAGCGTTTAGGAATAGAGGTTGCCCTTAGCCAATATTGAAGTTAACTCCATATATTAAATCTAATAAGCTGGAACCTCCCAACAAAGGAGAGCAACTTCTTCTTCCATCCGCATAAAGTGGATTTGATTCTCTCGAGAATGGTTGGATAGTTATAGGTTGTGAGTTTATATGAGTGTATAGTAATGCCTAGATATTTTCAAGGGTGGGGTTTCTTATGATAGCCAATCATTTCAATTGAATAAGAACATTCCTGAGGAGGAACTGACTTAGGGAAGTCAATAGAAGATCTAGCAGGATTAACTTAGAGATTGGTTGTCGCCTAAAAAGTTAAAAGAGACTTAGATAACTTTTAAATGGATTGAGAGTTGGCTTTGCCAAAAACAAATAAATAATCTGCATAAATGAGGTGATTGCCTTGGGCAAGCAATATTTGTAGAGTATTAAAAATTATCTAACAAGTTTGAAAAATAGTCCATAATAATATTAAATAGGTATGGTGACAAGGGACAACCCTGTCTTAAGCTTGTAGAGGAGTTGAAAAATCTTGAAACTCACTATTTAAGATAATAGAACATGGGACTTGATCTGCACATGCTTTAATCCAAGAAATGAATTGAGGTGGGAAGCCCGTCTATTATAAAGAAGGTTTTTGTTAGCATTGTCAAAAGGGTTATGATAGTTGAGAAGCTCAAAATAAAATTTATTGGCTTCAGAAGCAATACTCTATTGATTATTAAGGCAAGAGCCATTGGATTGAATTTTGTTGATGCAATTCCTTGTTTTCTTAGAATTAATCCTTTGAAAAAGGAATTTCACATCATCCTCTGCTTTTGTGAGCCAAGCACACTGCAGGCTATTTAATGCACTTGAGTTCGTTCCAAAGCATCATAAAGCTGATCTTAGGTCTCCAAAGCAACAAAAATAAGCCTTTTATCTGATGAGTTACTTTCCAAAAGAGTCTGAATATGAGATTGAGAGGCTGTAAGCTCAGAGAATCTTTGGCAATATAGCTTGAAGAATACCAATTGGCTTTTTGTAGAGTAAATTTAACATTTTTAAGTCTTTTACATAGAGAATTCACTTTTTGTAGAGCATGGCCGCATTCGTACCATCGTCCAGATGTGCGGTCGGATTGATAATAATACTTCAATAAAAATAAAAAAAATTTGATTAGTACTTGGAAGTCCCTTCTGTAAGGCTTTATCAGCATAAAATACTGAATCTCAGCTTAAATCGGTGTCACAGCAACTTATCAGCAGCTCAGAAACCATTCTTCGAGCGAAAGGAATATAACTTAAACTGTACCTCAAATAACATTAGAAGGAAAATTTTCAGATCAATAGGAAAAATAAAAGTGGCATTTACATAAATTTACTTGTCTGAATATATGTAGTATTAATACTACATTAGGTAGACTCTAATGTAGTATTAACCTGAATTTTAAATTCGAGGAAAGAACTCCAATAGTTTTTATAAAGAAATAGGCTTTGAAGAGCTCAAAATAAAATTTAATGGCTTCAGAGGGTTATGACAGTTAAGAAGCTCAAAATAAAACTTAAATTTCAGAAGTAATACTCTATTGATTATTAAGGCAAGAGCCATTGGATCAAATTTTCTTTATGCAATTCTTTGGTTTCCTAGAATTAATCCTTTAAAAAAGGAATTTCACATCATCCTCTGCTTTTGTGAGCTAAGCACATTGCACACTATGTAATAATCTACTTGAATTCGTTCCTAAGCATCATAAAGCTGATCTTAGATCTCCAATGCACTCCAAAAATTTTAAAATAAGCTTTTTATCTGAATATGAGATTGAGAGGCTCTAAGCTTAGAGATTCTTTTGGAAGTGTAGCTTGAAGAATACCAATGGACTTTTTGTAGTGTAAATTTGACATTTTTAAGTCTATTACATAGAGAAAAGAGGGGGTCACCTTTAGTAGGTAGACTCTAAAGCAATAGTAATCGGAATTTTAAATTCCGGGAAAGAACTTCAATAGTTTTTATAGAGAAATCGGCTTTGAGGAGTAATATAATTGTTCGAAGATAAAAGAATAGGTGAGTGGTCTGAAGTAGAAGCTTTTAAAACATTAAAATTGGAGCATTGAAAAGAATAAAACCATGTGAGATTCCCAAAAGCTCTATCTAATAAACAACGAATGGGGTTATTCAGCTGTTGGTTGAACCAACTGTTGGCAAAATCATGATTTGTGAGCTCCACAAGACCATAATCAAAGGTAAATTTATTAAAATTCACTATTTTGCTAGGGATTGGAGGGATGCCTTCCAGCTTATCCTTGATGTTTAAAATGCAATTGAAATCTCCTAGAATACATCAAGGCTCCATAGCTCCTTTCTCTTAGTGGCACAATTGTCATTATAGATAAATGTGAAAAGGAATTTTATGGAGGAAGAGAAAGAGATAGATCCATGTATGAATTGTGATTGTATGCCCAATGCATTGAAAGCAAGATTGAAAGAATTCCACTTAAACCCATATACGCCCATTTGAGGAAATATGAAAATTATGAACAGGTTGTACATAAGGGAAGGTAGTGAAGTGATTATTAGAGCTTGAGTTCGAGAGATGAGA